TCTCTCTCTCTCTCTCTCTCTCTCTCTCTCTCTCTCTCTCTCTCTCTGTGTGTGTGTGTGTGTGTGTGTGTGTGTGTGTGTGTGTGTGTATTTGGGAGCTTGATTTGGTATCTATTTTGGACCCAGGGCCTCACTCTGTGAAAGCAGGCCTTGAATTTTCTGCTTAACTCATGCTGGCCTCAAATTCACTGTCCTTTTGCCTTAGGCTCCTAATTGGTGCGATTGGGGACACGGGCGGCCATGTCTGGCTCTGCTCCTCTCGTTCCAGAAGCTCTGCCCACACAGCACAGTCTCTCAATAAGCTCTGCCCTACTTCAGGGCTTCCACACAGATCGCTTTCCTGATTGGCCCCCCATTTTCCTTTTCTATCTTTCAAGTCTCTGTTTAAATGTCTACAGCATTACCTAGGTAAAGGAAGCAGTGAGGGCGTGATTAGCTAGAGCTGTAGTGGTACTGCTTCATCCAGGCACGGTAGCACATGCCTGTGACCCCAGCGCTTGGACAGCGAGGGGATTATGGCTATACTGTCTCCAAAAAAGATCAATGGTGCTTAAGGAACAGAAGGTTGGTGTAGGCACACCTCTACAGACACATGGGACTGCACACACAGAAACACATACATACACACACATACACACACATATACATAGACACATACACACACATACTCACACAGAGACACACATAATATACAAATAAATAAATAAATAAATAAATAAATAAATAAATAAGGGAAGTAATTTTAGTTTAGCCACTGATAAGTTGTCCATACTCCAATTTAAAAAAAAAAGGAAGGAAGGAAGGAAGGAAGGGAAGAAGGAAGGAAGGAAGGAAGGAAGGGAAGAAGGAGAAAACCACTCGCCCAAGCTCAGCAATCAATCCTGATTAAAATCAGAAAGTGGGTGTTACTGAGAGGTTGTGGCACATGCCTTTAATCCAAGCACTAGGGAGGCAGAGGCAGGAAAATTTCTAAGTTTAAGGCTAGCCTGATCTACAGAGTGAGTTACAAAACAACCAGGGCTACACAGAGAAACCCTGTCTGAAGAGGGGGATGTGGTGGTTTGGATGAGATTTCTCCCATAGTCGTGAGCATTTAAACACTCGACCACCACTGGACGGCACTGTTTGGGAGGGCTAGGAGGCGTGGTCTTGCTGGAAAAAGTGTGTCACTGAGGGATTTCAGAAATCAAGGACTTGCACCATTTCCACTTCACTCTGTTTTATGCTTATGGATTAAGACATTAGGCTTCAACTTCCTGTTCCTGCTACCATGCCTCTGCTCTGCCATCATGGACTCTAACCCCCTAGGACATAAGCTGAAACATACTATAAGTTGCCTTGGACTTTATAAAGACTATGGTGTTTTATTGCAGCAATAAGAAAGTAACTAAAACAGGCCAAGAGAGAGGTGGATGCTGGAAGGCTTGTCAGAAAGAGGGGTTTGGCAAGGGAGGGAGGAGAATGAGACAGTAAGGAATGGGGAGGGGGGCATGATCACAGCACATAACATGAAAGAAATTGACAAAGAATAAAAAATACTTTGTTAAAAGATGAGGGGAATAAAATATTTTTTTTAAAAAAAAAAACATGTCTTAGTAGGGTTACTGCCACTTCCATAAAACCCTTTAACCAAAGTAATGGAGGAGAAAGGGTTTACACGGCTTCTGCTTCCACATCACAAGTTCATCATCAAAGGACATCAGGATGAGAACTCAATCAAGACAGGAGCCTAAAGCAGGAGCTGATGCAGAGCCCATGGAGGGGGAGTGCTCATTACTGGCCTGGATCCCATGGCTTGGTCCCCATGGCTTGTCCAGACGGCTGTCTTATAGAACCCAGGGCTACTAGCCCAGGGATGGCACCGCCCACAATGGGCTGGGCCCTCCCCCACCAATCACTAATTAAGAAAATGCCTTACAGCTTGATCATGTGGATGTATTTTCCTCTAATCGAGGTTCCCTTCTTTCAGATAACTCTAGCTTGTATCAAGCTGACATAAAACTATCCAGCATACAACCCCACCCCTCACTGTCTTTATAAAGAACTCTGATCTTTGGTGCTAGAGAAAATGCTCAGCTATTAAAAGTACTATTGCTCTTGCCCAGGACCCAGATTCAGTTCCCAGCATCCACATGGTGGCTTACAACTATCCAGATCCAGGGAATCCTATGCCCCCCATCTGGCCTACAAGGGCACTGCATGTATGTGGTACACAAACATAAAAATGAGAAAAAAACACATACTTTAAGAAAAAAAAAAAGAAAAAGGTCTATACTTACCTGGCTGTGATGACACGTACTTTTAATCTCAATGCTTGGAAGGCAAAAAACAAGTGGATTTCCGTAAGTTTGAGACTGCCCAGTGTATGCTGTGAATCCCAGGACATTTCAAGGCTATGTAGACCCTGTCTCAAATAAAACCAAAAAAAAAAAAAAAATCACTACCAGTATAATCACTCTGTGGATCTTCAGCTTGCTGTGAGCTTTCCAAGATAGATTTCTTGCCACCAATGGGCAGAGGCCACATCTCCCTTCTTCCCCATCATGACTGACACATAGTAGCCATGCAGGAACACAAAAACTTTTGAACAAATATAAGCAACTCCTCCAACTACCTTAGCTAAATAAAAAAGGTATGCCTTCTTGTCTGGTGGCATGGTCCACTGCCCCAGGACCCATCTTACAGTGCCCATGACACCACCATCACCAAGTCAACAGGTGTTAACCCTCCTGCTTTCCTCTGGTGCTAAGGCTTCCTGTATTAATCCCGGTTTTCAAGGCTTCTGCACTCCCTTGATAGTTGTTCCCCAGGTTTATCTCCATGAACCTGAAGAACTCGCCTTGCAGATGGGAGGAAGCTGAAAAAAAAGAGAGATTTTCATCCCTCTGCTTTTTGTACTGGGCCTTGCTGTCTCACTAGGTACAACAGGAACCGCTGGAGCAGCCCTTGTACAAACACAACATCTGACCATCGACTTCTAGGACAAGCTTGACCAGGCAATGGTCACTGCAGACAGCTTTGAGTCCCTTCAATGCCAGCAGGA